AAAACATCTGAACAATGACTGAAAGAGTTGGGTGCAAAAATTGATGATCCAGCCAAAGTTGCTAAATTTGTTGATGCTCAATGATGATTGGATCAAAATTATCCAAAAAAAGATAGGAAAGACATAACTAGTTTAGTTACTCATGGTGAGAACATCTTTAGTTGACCCGAAAATAAAAAACTTATTGGTTCTTTACGAGTAGAGGGATTTAGAAATTTAAGAGAGTTTAATTGTGGTGGCAATTTTTTAACTAATTTAGAGATAATTAATTGTCCCAAGTTAAAAATTTTAGATGTTTATGGCAATAAAATGACTAGTTTAGAATTAAAAAATTTACCCCAACTTACTAGTCTTAACTGCGACTTTAATCAAATAAATAATTTCTCTATTAGCAATTGTCCAAGGCTTGAAGCCCTTTCTATTTCCAATAATTTCCTTAATAACCTGGATTTTTTAAATAATATCGACCCAAAAAAATTAACTTTTCTGAATGTAGCCTGTAATAACGTTAGGGTACAAGATTTATCGGCTCTTAGTCGTTTCACTGAGTTAGAAGATTTAATGATTGGTAATTGAAATGAAGAACAAATGAAGGCCGGAATTTATAATCGCTTTGTTGGTAGTTTAGAACCTTTAAAAAGAATTTGACTAAATTAGAATGACTAAATATTGATAATACTGATATTGAAGAAGGATTGGAGTATTTACCAGTTAGTTTAAAAAAAATAAATTGTGAGGTGGATAAAAAAAGACCTCAGGCTAAAGTTCAGCAAATTCACTGTCTTTTAAAACCTTTTGGAAAATGACATCTCCCGCCTTCTAATTTCCTCGGACGTTTAATTACTAAATACGATTACTATGACTACCAAGAGTGAAGAAAAGCTAATATTAACTCAGAAAAGATGAAAATAGTTCAATTGGAAAGAGAAGTAGAAGAGATGAGAAGACAATTATCAAATCTACAAGTTCAAGAAGCAAATGTCCAAATACCTCCTAAATAAAAAGGGGAGCCAAAAACTCCCCTTATCTAATAAATTTGAAATTTATTAGATAATCCTTTCTCACTTTATACAAAGACATAATCCCTTAAAAATCGCTCTTACTTTTGCCTAAAAATCACTCTTTTTCTCTAAAAAACAAATGGGTCATGTTTTATTAAAAGGATAAAAAGTAAGATTAATTTCTAACCAACATCTCTTAAATTTATTTTACTAACTTTTGGAGGTACTCCCACCCCTAACCCTTAATATTTCGATCATGGAAAAACTTTCTCCAACTCTCTTGCTCTTCTTTTCTATGTTTAGCCCTTCTTTGTTCGAAAGTAGATGCTTCCACTTGTTGTTTTATTCTATTTTCATAAGCACATGCCAAACAGTAAGTTGGTTCTTCTGTTTTGTAACCTAAATTATCTGTCTTAGTAGGAGTTATAAAAATATTTTGAGAACCTTCTATTTTTATTAGTCCACAAATACTACATCTTATTTCTGTCATATCCTTTAATTATTGCCTCTCTTCTACTCGGGAATAATTCTTATATTGGCAAGAGGCTTTTTCGTCCCGAACAGCAGTTATTTCTCTCCTGATGTTGGTGATGAAATCGCTGTCAGCACAATTGAAACAATAGTAGAGAGGAGGGGATTTAACTCCCTTGTCACTAATACTAGCAACTGTTAGAGCAATAGTTTGGGGAGTGCTAGCTTCTACTACCCCATATTTGAGGCAGCCGTTACAATTGTGGAAGTTTTCCAGGGGATTGATGACTATTTCCAATTTTTTTACCATATATTAGTTTTACTTATGTTTGATCCAACTTATTACAGCCATAACAAAGTTAGTGAGAATAAATAGGACATAAATCTTAGTCTCCATAGTATAGTAATTGGCGGAATAGCCCTAGTGGGAGGGATTATTTTCTGGCTAATTAGGGGTAGAAAGAAAACTAGAAAACAAGTGAACTTTTTTAGTTAGATTTTGGTGGGATTTGGATTTGGGCTGAGAGGGAAGTTTTTCCTGTCTGTTCGGATATAACTTCTTTGGCTTTGCCTTTATCTATTTTGATTTCTTTACAACATTCTCATTCGGAGATGGGGGTATTCATTTTAGTTTGGAAGTTAGTTCAGCAAGTTTTTAGTTTTTGATAAAGACTAGGTTCACTAACTTGGATGTTTTTAGGAAGTTCAATTGGTGAAATTGAGGGAACTGGTTCTGGTTGGATGGTTATTGTCTCAGTAACAATAGACAATTCTAAAGCTTTGCTATCATATTGTTGTAATCTAGTGGTGATTTCCTTAGTATTTATCATTTTACTAGTAGTAATGGCTGAGGGATGGATTTGGTAAGGTTTTTGGGAGAAAGAGTTGTATACCTTTTCTATTTCGTGGTATCGTTGGGATTGAGATTGAATTCTTTTATCATAAATTCCCTTATGCAACTCCTTATAATTTGGTCTTTTATTGGGGTCAGCATCTCAACACTTTTTAATTAAATCCACCAATAACTGAGGTATTTTTAGTTCATCTATATCAGGTCGTAATCCTTGACAAACTCTCAAGGCTAAATCAGTTCCTTCCAACCCTAGATCGGCGTAAGGATAAGCACTAGCCAAGAGTTCGTAAGCAATAATTCCAAAAGAGTAAATATCTGAGGCTTGGGTATAAGGTTGACCTCGTAAGACTTCGGGTGCTATATAAGGAAGAACTCCAAAGACTTTGCCTTCCTGTTTTTGGTAATTAACTGGTCTACTTAGACCAAAGTCAGTGATATGACCACCGTATTCATCATTCAGTATATTACCACTATGTAAGTCTTGATGAGTAAGGTTTCGGCAGTGAATATTCATCAATCCATCAACAATACCTCTTAAAATATGAAATTTTCTACCCAAACTTAATTCACTATTTTTACTTTTTAAGTATTTTTTTAAATCGCCTCCTTTTATATATTCTATCACTAACACATAATTTTTAGTTTCTGGATCTTGGGAAATGCCATAAAATTCAGTGATTCCTGCTTGGCTTCCCGTAAGCAGTTCGGTATTAGTAATTTCTTGTAAGAATTCGAGAGTAATATTTTGGGAATTGTTAAGAACTTTTAAAACAACTATTCTATCAATTATTTTACCATAATAATTTTTCTTTTCACCTCACTTAGCCTTATAAATCTTACTAAAACCCCCCTGGGCTAGATATTCAATGTTAGTAAACTGCTCATGAGGTATTCATTTTATTTTTTGTTTTTGA